ACTAATTACGACAAGAGGCTCTAGCCCTGACATCACAGGCCAGACCTTAGAACAACACTCCATATTTCTAGGTGACCCCACTGCAGTGATTAATAGGTGGAATGCAAAGGCCTAATGAGTGTGTCAGATCCTAGGCATTCTCTGGGAAAATGCAGTTAGCACTGTGTTGAATATAACCTCAGTTACTTCATTATGCTCCACACTAAACTGTATGCTTTTTCACCTCATGGTCTTTGAATGAATTTATAATCATCAACCAAGAAAAGCCTCCATAAGTAGAGGTCTTGCCAACAGAAGGCAAAAATTTAAATATTTTGAATCAAATATTGACTTTGTCCTCTGTAAGAGGGAACTGTGTGCGATGTTATACACAATTACCAATAGAAACCACGATAAAAGGGGTTTGAGGGTAATAAAAGTTGTTTCATTCTATAATATGAATTCACCTTGTGAAAGGAGGTTATGAAAAAGGACATTTGTAAAACTGCTAGGAATAAGCACATTCATAATGACAGAAGGTTAAGTCATAGGAAAAAACTAATAGGGTCTACAATATTTATTTCTGAAGTGATGACAATGTTCTCAAATTAATTGGGACTGTATTTACCCAACTTTATGGATATATCAAAAATTGATAACCTCACATCTTAAATGAATAAATCTTACATTATGTGACTTATAAAGTAAAGCCATAGTGCCTTTTAATGCATGATACCGCTTTTAGCCAGAAAGAACTTGTAAGCCATCACAAATAAATGAAACGATTTTTTTGTTTTTCTGATTCTGGCTTAGACACCACACTTCTGTTTATCCTCCATTAGATTAGTCAATGCTCCACTCATCAGAAATCATTAAAAGTGGGTACACTTTGAGGATGCTTTTAAAGCTCTCATGGATCTGTCACCATGTTTTCTGTGGAATGTAGCCTAGACATAATTTCTGTTACTTAGATTTATAAATATATTCTTTTCCTTTTCTTTTAAAATATTATATAATTTCTCCCTTCCCTTTCCTCATATCAAACCCTTCCATATACCACTCCTAGTTCTCTTTCAAGTCATCCCCTGACAAGAAAACTACCACCACAAACGCCCCCAAAAAAACAAGTCCAATTTGACCAATTTGTGTTATCTATATATTCCCTGGAGTGATCAAACTCTCAGTGGCCTGCCCCTTAGATAGAACAGTCTTCCCCTTCGTGCATCCACACCAGAACTCATCAATTGTGGAAAGATAACTTCAGCATCCTTACCATACATTTTTAATTATATTATATTATTATATCATTTCTATATTATTTCCCTTTACTTTCCTCCCATTCAACACGTCCCATTGTCCCCTGGACTCAGATTCATGGCCTCTTTTATCTTTAACTATTATTGTTCTCTCTCTCTCTCTCTCTCTCTCTCTCTCTCTCTCTCTCTGTAAAACTGTTTCTTGCTCTGAGTCATAGTGATCCATTTAGTGTTATTTGTATGTGTATGTTTGTGGGGCTGACCACTTGGCATTAGGTAACCATGACCAATTAGGAGGCTCATCCCTGGGGAAGATTAGTATCCCTTCTCTCATCAGTCATTAATTGACTGTAGCTTCTCATCTAGGGGTAGGGTTCAACAAAATTTCACCCATCCACATTGCATTGTCAACTGGCATTGAAACTGTTCATGCTTTATTCATGCATATTGCTGAGATTTCATGGCTACAGCATCTCTTATATTTAGAAGACACAATCTCCCAGCAGACACCCTTGCTCTTTCTATTAATTTACTTGTTTGTTTATTTTCAGAGAGTTTCCCTATATAGTTCTGGCTTTCCTGAAACTCACTGTGTAGACCAAGGTGGCCTTAAACTCACAGAGACCTGCTTGCTTGTATCTCTGAGTATGGGGACTAAAGGCATGCACCACCATACCTGTCCCCTTTATTTTTTTTTTTCAGAAAGCTTCTCAATGTGTAGCACTGATTGACTTAGAACTTGCTACATAGACCAGGCTATCCCTAAGCTTGTGGTACACATCCTGCCTTAGCTTAATGAGTACTGGGATACTGGTTGTGCATCAGCATGCCTAGTGTAAAATACTCTTTTGTTCAAAGACTAAAGCCTGGTTATAGGGATAAGACATAAAACTTAGGCAGTATGAGAGGAACTATGTGAATGGATAAACTCTACATCAAGCAGTATGTATCATTTAATGGATTTTCCTCCCACTATACAATGACCTTGGGCTGTGTTTACAGTTTTAAGCTAAACACCAGACAGCAGTATAATTCCCTACGTAGCCAGGAATGACCTATAAAATGCTGCATAATTGAGGAGCTTGGTTGTAACTCTCCAAATCTCGACATCATTGTTTCCTAGATAGTATTTTTACAAAGCAACCACAAACAAATCACCTATTCACCTTGATTTAAACATAATTTTTCTATTACTCTAAATATTTTAGTGATCTTTCCAAAAATTATAAATTTCAAATTACCATTACTATTATTAATTTCAAGAGTTTTCTTTTGAGCGCTGGAGATGGAATCCAGTAGGTAGAGAACTTATCTAGACTTTATACCTGTGTTCAAACCCCAAACTACATAACCTGCACTTAGAAGGTGGAAACTGGAGAATCAGAAGTTCATGGTCATCCTTCCATCCTCATCTACACAATGAGTTCAAGGGTAGCATGGGATATATGAGACACTGTCTCCAAAACAAGTTCCCCTTTGTGCCTCTTCAATTTTATACTACACTTATCTTTAAAAGGAACTAAATGTACACATAAAATTATTTATATATAATGAGTCTAGTAAAACATTAAGATGTCACTCTAAGTAGCATAAGAACATTAAAACAATATTGAATTAAATTAAAATAATGCCGTTCATCATTCTCACACCCCTTTTTGATCTGGCCAGTTCACAGTCCTTGCCGTGACGATGGCAGCTCCATAAACCAGCTCTCCTTTGCTTGTGGAGAACGACTGTTGAGTAGAAGTTCTGACCAGGACATACTGGATGTTATTCAGTTGTCATTTTTCTTCCAGGAAGCCCACAATTATTATGCCCTCTGCTTCAGTGTAGGGCAATAATCAGTTCTGACCAAGTGAAGCTCATAAATTTTATGCCTGGACACTAAATACTGCAGATGATGTTTGATGCTGTGTCCTTTCTCTTTGTCTCATAGAGGGAGTAGGTTTCGAGAACAGCACAAAGTCATAGGGGTTAGCACAGGTACCACAGGGAACATTGATGAACTTACATGTCTTGAAGTCACTGAGAACTGGGGATAATGATGATGATTATTGCTATCAAAAGTTGAGAGAAGATGACTCCTCTATTGACCTTAACAACAATGTTGTTATATGTAAAAGGGAGGAAAACATGACCTCAGAGGTATCATAATCTTTTCCTTGACCTCTCAGGTCAAGGCAAATTGGTTGACCCAGCAAAGTATCATCAAAGAACACAAGAGCTATAGAAGAACAAGATGCAATTCGAAATATCAACAACCATGTATATGTAGATATAAGGATAACCTCTATAATCCTGAGAACAAGCATCCAAAAGTGAGTCTAAGAAAGAGTATTTTTAAAGTGTAGTTCTTCAAATACATGCTTCAAAAGAATTGAAAGGATACTTTTGATAATCAAATAAAAGCTCAACAGTTTAAGCATGTCAGTCTTATTAACCTAGAATCATTGAAATAAAGTGGAAAATACAAACCAACACCAACACATTTATCACACACACACACACACACACACACACACACACACACACACACGTAAAATAGGATTATTTATGGATAAAAGGTTTGTTTTGGTAGTACATTAGAGAGAAAACACCATAAAAATAACTGGTATACCTCTCGGCTAGGTGGAATATGTGTCAATACTATAAGGCAACAACACTGCATTGGGTTTTCAAAAGAAATGGTTCAGAGAGAGATGAGAGACTTATGGCTACATGTCTGAAGGCTTGATTTTATATCCAGAAATGTGCCCTGTGACTTTGGAAAGCTAGATTGTCTATGTCCTCATGCCCAGAACAGAAATATGACAATCATTTCTCAGGGTGTCAAGCGTATTAGGAAATATCACATGAATCAAGTGTAGAACAAGGCCTTGACCACCTGCAAATTCTAATAAAATATTAGTTATTATTGCTAATATTCTGTCTCCCTCACTAGGGATCCCATTGTCTTTAGTTATATATAATAAAATAGTCACATTAGGTGATTTATAGGATACCTTTGAATTTTTATAGACTGAGTCTATAACTGTCCCTTGAAGTTAAATTATCAGTTGACAAATTAAAATTCTAAAACCCATACATTTAAGTAATGATTTATAAAAAAAAATCTATAAAAATCTGGTCTACTATTTAGAATGTTTTAAAGACAATAGGTCACATAATAATGAGGGATTTTCATTAACATTCCAAAGCAGGGTGGTTTGATGTATTCATTCTCTCTCATGACTTACACTCTCCTTTTAACATAGACGCTAACAAGATAATTGGAAGCAACTACTTAAATAAAACGATGTCATTATTTTGGGAGTCCTAAAGCATTAAGGAATTATTTTACATATAAAATTTGAAAGTATATGCAGTCCTGGGCAGTGCAAAATGGACTATATTCTGTGCTTATAAGAAAGCGCTTTGTCCAGCTATGGCAATGGTGAGAAATAATCCCAATATCATGGTATGGGGTTCATTCCAAACTGAACAGCAAATGATTCACTCGGAATCTTGATAATATGGCAAACTTCATTCATACAGATAATTCTCCATCCCACCCACCAATTATTAAGACTCAAAATGAATAAAACAGATAATGATGGTAAATCATCAAAAAATCACTAAAAATGCAGTTCTAATTATGGCTTTCGATTGATTTTTAACTGATTAATATAGTAAGAGATTTAGCGTATGGACATGGTCAGTGTCAAGTATGTAGTAATAAAGAACTATATTCTTATTCCAGAAATCGGTCTACACTGACAACCTTACCTCCTGCATACATCACAGCCAGCATGATGGACGAGATCCATGCGATTTCACTGTAGCTAGTATGGAATATTGCCTGGATATCTTTGAAGAATACTGTGACAGCTTTGGGGAAGGCATATGAAAATCCAATGCAGATAAAAGATGCTCCAACTACTACCCAACCCCACCCTCCATCCGGAGGAAGGGGGTGTGGAGGTGGTACAGCATTCTCCGATGGCATTTCTGTACCTCTGCTGGAGACTAAAGTAACCTGTTGAAAAATAAAAATAACAGTTTATGTTATATGTTTAGTTTTTTTGTATCACCCTAGAAAGTTGCTGACACAGCATTCTCATTGCAACTCCAATATCATTTTCATTAATATATTTAGTATTCTTATGCTTGGAAAATTATCAGAAAATCCAAACAAATCAGATAATGTGAGATATACAGCCTTGATTATTAAAGAGGGAAAACTATGAAACACTTACTTATGGGAAGAAAATATTGGAAAATGAAGTTAAGAATCAAGATAAAACCTGAAGTGCCAACTAAATAAAAATAAACATATTCCAATCTTACTTTTAAGCATAGAGGAAATGTACCTCCTACACTTCAAGAAAGAATGCTTTCTTTCTCTGTGCATGTTCTCTGTGTGTGTGAGCACATGTATGTATGCGTGTTGTGTGTGGGCACATGTATATATCTGTGTTGTCAGGGGTTGATATGGTATTTTCCTCAATTGGTCTCCACGTATTTTTCAAGAAAAAGGTCTCTCATGGTATCAGGAGCTTGCTGATTTGGCTACTCTCAGGGGCAAAATCTCCAAGAATTCCCCTCATTCTGCTTCCCCACGAATTATATGCATAGTTTTTGTTGTTGTTTGTTTTGTTTGTAATGTGGATTCTGGGGGACTGAACTCAGGCCTTCACAATTTTGTGACAAGCACTTAAAAACTGAGCCAATACCAAGCCCTAAGTCTAATATCTTAATTCAAAATGTTGCCTTCCCAAAATCAGTGGTACCAACAGTTTTGTGACTCTCTGTTATCTCTGTCTCTGTCTCTGTCTCTCTGTCTCTCTCTCTCTCTCTCTCTCTCTCTCTTCACATGGATAAATATGCTTATTTGTTGTGGGAGTGGAGAAAAGGTTTTTTAATATGTACACACCTAAGAACATTTAAATACTCTCCTGTGGAAAGAAATGATGCACAGTTTAATATGTAAGAAATTACACAGTGAAAACCTTGTCTCCACATTCTCTCAAAGTACAGAGATGTTGTGTTGACATGCAGAAGAAAAAAATCTACATTCCTGTGTACAAGAATACACACACACACACACACACACACACACACACACACACACAAGTGTATAAGGTGCAAATAATGATGTCTTAATGTGCATATTCAGTGTGGAATGAAAACTCAACTGCCTTCAAATTAACCAAATACTCATATCCTTATGCAATACTCATTACTCTCAGGCCCCTCACCCTCATCCTTTCCCTCTCCACCCCCTTCATGTGTGTGTGTGAGTGTGTGACAGAGAGAGAGAAACAGAGAGAGAGAGAGAGAGAGAGAGAGAGAGAGAGAGAGAGAGAGAGAGCATGTGTATGCTAAAGTCTACCATCTTAGCAGGTTCAGAGCACACAGTCAGTACTGTGTGACACAAAGCTCAGCACCTACAGATCCCACACAGCTGCAGTTCTGAGCCTGGAAACAGCACCTGTCTCATTGCAAACCAATTTTTGTTTTGGCCTCCATATCTAAGAAAATACCCTTCTATTCTTGATGTCTGTGATTTCAGATTTGTTTCTTTTTAACATTCATCAAAAAACTATGAGATCCTTCCGTATTTTTCCATTGGGGTCAGATGTATGTAATTTAATCTAATGCCCTCTGAGAACTCACATATAGTCACAAAGGTGACTGCATCCCACAAGCTTCTGAATGGGATCAATAATAGTGTTTCATCAACTTTAATTATAAGATAAGGGTCTTCAAGATTTTATTGTAAAGGCCACACAAAGACTGTAAGGTTTCCTGGCTTCATGGTCTGCATTGAGTGTTTATCCAAATTGAATTTTAGTGTCATTGATGACACTGACACAATTGAGCATGGTTTTCCAATGAAGCTTTCTTTACAAAGTAGTCTAACTATTACAGGCAGTTTAATGATGCCTATAACAGACATTAGAGAAGAAAACCTAGAAGAGAAAAACACCCAGTCTAGCAGTTATTAAAAATTGTGAATTTATTTTCATTATTGTTCTATATGACTATTTGCCTGATAAAGTGATAATGTAATTTCATGAATCCCAGAGATACAACTGCAATTTTATGTGTTACTTCATTATTTTTATGTGTTATCATACAACTTTTTTGTAACTATGCAAGTTTTAGACAATCTAGGAAATACATGAAGTGTAAATAATAATTTAAAAATCATAAAAATCCTACTTTTGATTGACACCATGGTTAATACAAAATTTATATTTTCTGTTGGATTGTTTTCCGATCTATATTTACATGCATTGCTCAATCACATGTTGATAATTTTTGAAGTAATCGCAAACAACAATTTATGAAGAACTTAGGCAAAGAATGACAAATTGCCTCCCATTCTATCTGAGAGGGTAAGTGGTAAGAAATTAGTATAACAGAATTTTTGAATGGTGTTGAGAAAGGCAAATTCCTTTAGTTCCTTAATATCCTCATGAAGATATATTATAATAACAAGTTATTCCGAACTAGAAAGAGAGAGGGAGAGGGAGAGAGAGAGAGAGAGAGAGAGAGAGAGAGAGAGAGAGAGAGAGAGAGAGGCAGACAGACAGACAGAGGGGGCAGACAGGAAGGAGGTAAAGGTGTTTGCAAACAACCCCATCAATTTGAGTTCAAAACAGAAATGGAAGAGGTGGAATCAGGAATGGATAAAGTGGAAGCTAAGAACTAATTCCTAGAAACTATCATGCGCACACACACACACACACACACACACACACTTCATATTTTTGGTTGTGAGCTGAGCCTGTGTCTCTGTGTTAATATATGTTTCTTGTGCTTCATTTAGCTTTGTTTCTTTGTTTTGTCCTATTCAGGTGTGCCTGGTATTTTATTTTATTTTATTTTTCTCTTATTTTTTAAGATGCTGGTTTGTTTTATAATTAAAGAGACCAAGAAAAAATATGGATTTAGGTGAGTGGAGAGGTGTAGAGTATATGAAAATATTTGAGGGAAGGGGAATCATAATCAGAATACAGTATAAGAAAAAAATGATTTCAGTTTATAAATAAAATTAATTATTTAAAAAATTAAAACCATTTCAACTTGTGCATCTCTTTTTCTACTCACCCAAGCACATGATATTTAAAAATTAACCTGTAATGTAATTATAGTATATAAAAGTGATATGGATAAAGGGATATACCTCAGTAAATTTTGAATCATTGTTATTGCTTAGTCCTTATTATCTCCAGTAAGCATTTATTAATTAGTTTAGCTTCCACAGAGATCCTTTGGTACTCTTTTTAGAATGAGACAAATTTCAGAAATACTAAGAAACTGGATCTGAGTAATATATGAGCACTGGATCTCATTAATAACTGCTGGTGCTAAAGTAATATACAAAGAATGAGAAAGAAGACTACTTGGTTATGTACTCAGGGAGTAAAATAAGCCAGAGGAAAAAACCACTTGACATTTTTATTACATTCTGTGAGTCTAAATGTCTGGAAGGATTGAAACAGTCAAGAGCACTTGATTTCCAAAACATTAAGAGTATGAAAAATTCTCTCTGCAGAAGTCATATGGCTTGATCTTAAACATCCCCCAGTGCTGTGTTGCTGAAGGATAGGTCACAGGCCTTTAGTGCTGTTGGGAATAGTTGGATCTTTCAGTTGTAGAACCTAAGAGAAGGAAGTTAGAGCCCATGCTTTTGTAGAGAACTCTGGGACTGTGGCCTTTTCACTTTTTCTCCATGGCTCATGTCATGATTATCTTTGGTACAGTACAACACATGCTCCCTCGCCACCATGTTCTCACAGTGGTTCACAACAAAAGAATCAAACAACGGTGGTTACAACCTCTGAACCATCAGATAAAAATAACAATTCTCTCCATTAAAGTTAATTTCATGAGGCATATTGTCACAGTGGTAAAAACTCGACTAGCACTGGAAGGTTTAGGTCCATGGAAACTATTAAGCAAACATTCCCTCCAGGAGAGAGATAGGAGATGCATGGGACTCAAGAGGTCAGCCAACTTCACAAATCCGGGAAAACAAACTCTCACCAGGGCCCCTATCCAAGGACACAAAGGTGGATAAACCACTGCAGAAGGAGTCACTGACAGGCATTGCTAAAAGGAGAGGGTATTCTGGGGGTTTGTGGAGCTTCTGGGAGCTCCTGGGATGCAACAGCTTCTGAATCATCTATACACCTATAAGCCACCCCCCCACCAAAAAAAAAAAAAAAAAAAATCCCACCACGTTCAACAACTTGGACTTTGGTGAGATTGTGACTTTTGTCTGTAGGGGGTAGTCTCCATTCAGGAGTAAGTGTTTGTGTGAGTGGTCTCCATTCATGAGAGTGCAGGTGTGTGTGTGTGTGTGTGTGTGTGTGTGTTTACAATGTCTGCCCAAGAGGGAAAAATCTCACACAATGAAAGTCTACTAAAATGCCCCCAAACCCAGCAAGGTATGAGGTTAAGACACAGAAAAATGATGCATATAAAGTGGGTATTGGATTTAATGAAAACCATTTCTATTAGTTTAATATTCTAAAGAGGTTACAAGTTAGTAAAACAAAAATACCATGTTTGTTAAGAATTACTTTCAAAAGGTTTATATGTTTACAGTATGTTATAATTTGCTTTAATATTTTCTTGTTGGACACAATACTAATTATCTCCTCTAAATCTACATTTATTGAGTTTTAAAATAGTACTATTTCTGTATGTTGATCAATTAAAACATTTGAGTACCAAAAATAGTGTCTTTAGAAATGCAAAACACTTAAAAGAAAATAGGGAAAGGTGGAGTCTAAACATGGTTTAAATGCTTAGAGGACAGCAATCGGCCTTGAAAAGTTGTTTTAAGAATCTGAACTCATTACCTCATTTTTAAATTAAATTGTGAAGTTACCAATTTCCTTCTTGCTTGAAAATTAAACAAGAAAACCTGGAGATCATTCAGGAAATACCAGAAGGCTTTATGTATCAAACAGCTTTATGTTTTTCTACATTCATAGAGACAGTTACTAGGAGTAAAGAGGTAGCCCTGTAATTTTCCAGCATGCAGGATGGAAACAACTATCTTTCATTACTAATCCATGAGTTCACAAGATTGTAGTCTCCATTACATTTGATAGGGTACATATTTAGAGATAAAATTTCCTGATTCATCTCCCTGTCATTTTTAAAGACATAAATGTGCAAACCTTCCCTCCAGGTAAGGACACCAGACTCATCCCTTCCCCAACAACTCCACTTGCTCCCACAACATGTCTGATGGGCCACATACATGTTCCTTTCATGCTGGTTGACCCTTCCCCTTCATGTAAGAATGAGAGATTCCTTTCATCAACACATCCAGAGCTGCACCTTGTCTGAGGACCCTATGTCCTATGCTAACATGCTCTCCCCACTCCCAGGTTGGGACCTCAGGCACCCACAGCCACTTCATGCCCTCCAGCTGCTTTGGAGAAGTCCTAAACACCTAACATTGACCCCCTGAGGATTTTCTATGAACATTTTCTCACTCTGCATAGGTCTATTCCACATGCCTTAGCCCCATTCAACTGTTCTACAACCTGACAACATGTGTAATAGAAAACCAAGATCATGACACTCATTTAACCAAGGGGAAACACAATTTCCATATGAAGAAACACTACAAAGATCCAATTAAATATGTTTAGGTCCCATCAGAAAAACAAACAACATAATACTGAACCACACAATAGTCTCTGCTAAGAATTAATTCTCCCAGAGTGAGTTCCAGGACAGCCAAGACTACACAGAGAAACTCTGTGTCAAAAAGAACAAAACAAACAAACAAACAAAATGAACTAGTGCTCCCACTTCAACCCTACACCAAGAACTGTAACCAAGGGAACAAAGCAGGGAGTGCAAAAGGTGATCTTCCCCAGCTGGGAGCACAACCTCCTATTGTCCAGTGACAAATGACCAGCAAGAGAGGGTTTTCAAATAACAGAAGACAGAACACAGTGATAGCAGTTGGGGGAAGAGTGATAGAATGGGCAGAGTTAACTGGTGTGGGGATGGAAAAACAGAGTAGAGGGGGAAATAAATACAAGGAGGGATAACTAACCCTAAAGACCTTCAGGAAAAGTCATATGAATAATGACTGCAGTACATTCCTAAAATTTAAGCATATACATGTATAAAACTGCCAAAACCCTATAATGTAGCACAAGTCCCTTGTAATTTTTTTAAATGTCACAAAGAGAAGTCATGCCATACAGGACTAACATAGGGGGTTTTTGCAAGAGGAGAGAAAAGGCTCAGAATAGGGGACACAGACCCGTCCCTGGGTAAAACAGTGGTGGAGGAGAAAGAGAAAGAGGGGGAGAAAGGGAGAGAAAGAAAATGAGTGAGAGAGAGAGAAAAAAAGAAAAATAGGAGGTGGGCAGGACCCTTTTAAAAGGGAACGTAGTGAATGTGCACAGGTGGTGCTCTTAGTGGCTGCACCTGAGGTCTTATCCTGTCAGAACCCCAATGACAGGCCAGTGCAGATGCTTGAATACTAACACCCCCCTAGAAACTATACGCTAAAATCAAAATCCCAATGCTAGGATTGGTTTATATTTATTGGAGCTGTTGGCAAGTGAGGTTGCACAGACCTTCAAATATTAAAGTCTATTGGGATTGCTCCTGCCTACTCTCTGGAACTTGATAGTTATATTGAGACTAAAGATGACATACTTGAATCACAGACAATGAGAAATCAAGTTGGCATTGACCTCAGAGTTTAATCCCTACTATGTTCCATAGCACTTAAAGTAGCTATGCATTACTTCCAGAGAAGAAAAATTACTACCAGTCTTGTCCAGCTATGAACCACAGTAGCTACCTGTCCAGAAAAAAAAAGTTTCCCCCAGGTGCAACAGTGTCACAGATAGCATGAAAACAGCCAATCACTTTCTGATTGGATTCATGGCATACTCCCATAAAACGGAATACACATCTACCAGTTATTGGGGCTGAGAACCTGTGGGTTGACAGATCCTAGGCCCTGGAGAGAACTTATTACTAACACTCTGCTAGTGGTTCATAGTAGTAAGTTGTAAGCCCATTGCCCTTGGAAAATAGCGCATCCCACAATGCTCACCCCTTGCTTACTAGCAGCTGTAGTTGATCAACTGTCAAGATTCAATCTGAACACACATACTCCATGATTTTCCTTGTGAACAGCTCTAATATTTTCTGTACTTGGAAGCCATCAAATTTTGTCCCTTTTATTTGTAAGTGTGACCAAAAGAACCAGAAACAAAATTATACTTTTACCTGTTGTCAGATGACCACTTTAACAGATTTCTTTGGGTGGTGTGTATATTGAAGCCTAGTCACTTTGAAGCCAATATAAAGGGAGAGGTAGTATAGACTCCAGATTATCTAAAAGGAAAAGAACAAAAAGGTATTAAATGTATAACTGTATCCCACTGCTTCATTAGCCACTAGCTTTAATTTACCCCAGTAATCGTGCACATCTTTTATTTTATTTTTTTAAACAGGGTTTCCCTATGTAGCTTTGGAGCCTGTCCTGGAACTCTATTGTTAGACCAGGCAGGCCTTGAACTCACAGAGATCTGCCTGCCTCTGCCCTCCAAGTGCTGGGATTAAAGACATGGGCGACCACCCAGCTCTGCACATCTTTTATAACTATAATAATTAAATAAGCATTTTTGTATGCATATGTGAATCCTATATATATATGCATATATATGTATATATGTCAATTATATATACACACACATGAAAAGTGGAAGATAAAAAATCTGCTTCTTTGAAATTAATAACAAGGGCTGGAAAGATGGCTTAGCTGTTAAAGGCTAGGCTCACAACCAAAAATATAAAATTAATAACAAATTATAGGCCATGAGAGATTATCTCAGTGGGCAAAGTGCTTCTTCTGTCAGCATAAGGAACTGAACTCAATTCACCACATCCGTGTAAACAGCACAGCATATGGTACTCCCTTATGATTCTAGCACCAGGAAGTGGAGACAGGAGGATCTCTGGGGTTTGTTAGCCAGCCAGCCTAGCTGAGTGGATGAGTTCCAGATCCTAGTGAGAGACTCTGCAACAAAAACTATGAAAAATGGCTCCAGAGGAATGGCATTGGGATTGGCCTCTGGCTTCCATCTGAATTCCCACACAGTTGAACATACACCTGGGAATTTACAGACATGTCACATAAGAGCAGATTAGATTACACAGGCTACATTATGAAAAAGGAAACTTAGTGACATTAGCTGCCACTCATTTCCTTATGTCTATTTAAATAAATTGGTGCTAAATCATGCCTGTGTGTGTGTGTGTGTGTGTGTGTGTGTGTGTGTGTGTGTGTGTACATATAATAAGATTTAACAAAATAATTCTAAATACTATCAATAATAAACAGATTTTAACAGTGGGTAGGAAAAAAAACATTCTATGGATCTGTTTCAGAAGTCAAACTTCCTAAACAGGTCTTAATATCTAATAGAACAAATGTCTTTATTCAAGATGCAAACCTCAATATGGTACTGAATATATAAAACTTGGTATAACAGATAATACTGACCAGAGTAAGCAAAAGAAAAAGTGAAAACTAGATTCTTTCTGTTAAATAACCAGTCACCCACTTTGGCTCTAGGGCTGCCGAATACAAAGTGTTGAGAGAAGACATCATAACCATTGGGTCAATGATACTGTGTAAGAGGATGAAGGATGTGTGCAGAGCAATAGAGTAAAGGAGACTTAAAGCCCCTTCCCCTAGAATGAGATTGATGAATACTCTCTATGCTATTCTAGAGTCCTCATCCAGTGGCTGATGAGAGCAGAGACAGACATCCACAGAAATACACTGAGCTGAAATCTGGAACTCAGTTGAAGAGAGGGAGGAATGAAGAACGAAGGGGTCTGTACCTGGTTGGAGAAACCCACAGAAACAGTTGGCCTGAAAAAGG